GATATACCTAGATAATAGCAGGAACCGTATATCTGGCCCCCAATCCTGGCCAAGAATATATACCAGACTATACTATGCATAAATTAGCCACACAGACTGAACAGGGACACCTCAGTCACATAGGCTGAGGGGATTCAGTTATACAGAGTAAAACAATTCAAGAATGTAAAAAAAATACTTCTTTCTACAAAAAGAGAGACAGCCCACTTATATGTATAACACATGGCAGCGCATAAAGAGATCAATACAGTACAACCAAAGCAACCAAAATTTCAATAGGAAAAGATTATAGAACTTTTTAGAGAAAGTATAGTATCTGACAGCTCTGTTTCCCTAAAAAGTCTTTCACATCAGTTTATAGACACTGCTGTAGAATAGAAAAGACAGTTCCTCTACTTATGGTGTGACTTTATGGAGAGCCACGCAGAAGAGAGAAAAAAAAGAAAGCTTCATCAATCAACACTGGTACTAATGTTTCAAGCAGTGCTGTTTTTTAAGCAGCCTGTCACCCATGGCAATGGACCACATGGCCCCACCACACTTAGTACCTTATCAGTCATACCTCAAGATATTTTGAGTCAGAAGACCCGATCCCTGACCTGCCCAGTCGCCCCGGTAACAGGAACTGCAGAGATCCTACCTAACCACACATTGCACCTGAAATAGGGCAAATCATTCAGCAGAACACATTCATGCAAAAGGACAGTAATAAGTAACAGATAGTATGGAAAGTAAAAAGAAAAGAAAAAAATTCAACAGTCAAGGTTCTTGGAAAGGGTACTTTTCCACAACATCGACTTTACAGAAAAAGGCACAGCACAAGGGGAAATCATAGTAAGCAGAAAGTTAGCTTACCAATGCCGGCAGAGATGACTTCCCAGGTTGTGCTGTCCTTCTGTGTCTAAACGATGTCTGTAGAGTTTCCCTTTCCGGCTCGAAGGACCAATTGACGGGGAAACCCAAAACTCATGGGTTCCAGTAACATTTTGACTGCTGAAGCCGGATTGAAAAGTAGATGTTTATTATACAAGCATGTAGCTAGACCTCCATGCAGGGAGAGCAGAACAATACATAGTGTTGGATTCAAAATAATGCTCTATCTAACTAGGGCTTTCTAATACAATTTATATGCTATACAGTGGGTGGTACCTAGCTATCTGATCTTTCTTTGAAGAGTCATCTGTGTCTTTGGTGTAACTCATTGAGATGCGAATAGTTATCCACATGTTATTGTTACTTCCATTGTCCTTTGGGTTTAACAGGTCTTCATAGGCTGTGATAATAATCTTGTAGACAATAGGTGGTGTGAATGATGCTGAACTGGAAGTAGGAGTGAAGTGCCAAATGTTGAGCCAGCAGGAGAGGGAAATAGGTTGTTAGGCCATCTAATTCAATACCAATGTATTTCATATTTATATCTAAAATGGCTGCTCCATTTTCCCTTACACTGACCCTGACCATTCTCTGCCTGATCCTCTGTACCGCGCTGCCCGTGAGTTACTGAACCCAGCTTGTGCCCCTGACCATTCTCTGCCTGCTCCTTTGGTACCTTGCTGCCTGCACATTGCTGACCTGGCCCGTCTGACCACGCTACTACTCTGCCATCCATCCATCCTGCACGGATCCAGCTGTCCCTGCTCACACCTTCTGCCTCTTCACATCAGGTTTTCTACCTGCACATACCTCTGGCGGATCCCTCTACCACTAGCAGGTGTACTCAGGGGCCGCGACCTGGTTCCTGTCTGCTCCAAGTCCATCCCCACCATCAGGGGCCCTGGTGAATAAGCAGACTGGGACTTAGACTCCGCGCCCTGGGGAATCCTGTCCTGAGGACCGCTAGAGGTACCACCAAAACGGTCATTACAGAACCCTACGGCCGGCCTGACCGTTCCACCTCTCCAGCCCTGACTACGCCTGTATTCCTGCCCCTCCTAAGATTGGTGGTAGGTTGGTTTGTTCACTGTGCGTTTTATATATATATATATATATCTGGGTGGCTAATAATAAACTGTATTATTATACTATACGTGAAACCTGCGTTTCCCTGTGTCAGTCCACACCTTTCTGGTCATTCCTAGTAGTGATTCCTGACATCACACCAAGGCCTTTCCTGACCAGAAGTGGCTGCACAGGGAAGCCATCTTGACTTGTTGTGAAGGATGCATCCTGATGAGGTTATATATTTGTCTATGCTAGTCTTTGATGACAGAGAATATGCCTATCAGACCCTGCGGGAGTATACCCGGGATCAGCTGCTAGAGTGCATACGGGTCTCTCATTTCCCTAGTAGGTCAGGTCCTAAAGCTCTCTGAGGTGCAACCATTGATTCAGGCTTGTGTTGAGTTGGCTTCATCTAGTACCCCTGAAAGCAGGGATGAATTTCTTCCTCCATTCAGGGTGAGTCAAATAATATCACTGGTATGGTTGTTGGAGGATGATCCGGATTGCTTCTTGGAGCATTATTCAGCATGTTCACCACATGTGCTAAAGAAGTGTATAAACGCAGTGCAATCTTCGGCCAGACAGGCCTTGTGTAAGGTGAGCGTTGTCCAACCCTTACTGCAGACATGGTCAGACTTGTTACAGCTAGCCTCAGTCAGCTTGCAACAAACCAGTCCTGCTTCTCATCATTCCTCTGTTCAAAGCTCTCTTCCTGCATTCCCGACAGTACCCCCAGTGTCAGCCCAGTATATACCCCGCTATCTACCACAGGTCAGTCCCCTGCTCCCACTCGCTGTACCATCCTGCCAGTATCCAAACCGGTCAGCTTGTCGTCTGAGAACCCGCCTTCCGTGGTTCAGCCAGTTGACTCGGTGCCAGTTGACTTGGTGCCCGCTGTCGTACCAGTTGACTCGGTGCCAGTTGACTCGGTGCCCACTGTCGTGCCAGTTGACTTGGTGCCCGCTGTTGAGCCGGATGACTTGATGCCTGATGATTCGGTGCCCGCTGTCATGCCAGTTGACTCGGTGCCCGCTGTTGAGCCAGATGACTTGATGCCTGATGATTCGGTGCCCGCTGTCGTGCCCGTTGACTTGGTGCCCGCTGTTGAGCCGGATGACTTGATGCCCGGTGACTCGGTGCCAGTTGACTCGGTGTCCGCTGTCGAGCCAGATGACTTGATGCCTGATGATTTTGGTGCCCGCTGTCGTGCCAGTTGACTTGGTGCCCGCTGTAGTACCAGTTGACTCGGTGCCAGTTGACTCGGTGCCCACTATCGTGCCAGTTTACTTGGTGCCCGCTGTCGTACCAGTTGACTCGGTGTCAGTTGACTCGGTGCCCACTGTCATGCCAGTTGACTCTGTGCCCACGGTTGAGCCGGATGACTTGATGCCTGATGACTCGGTGCCCGCTGTCGTGCCAGTTGACTCGGTGCCCGCTGTCGAGCCAGATGACCTGATGCCTAAGGACCCAGTGCCCGCTGTTGAGCCACATGACCTGATGCCTGATGACTCGGTGCCCCCTGTCGTGCCAGTTGATTCAGTGCCCACTGTTGTGCCAGTTAATTTGGTGCCTGTTGTCGAGCTTGGTGACCCGGTACCCGCGGTTCTGCTAGATGGCTTGGTGCCCGCTGACATGCCCGGTGACTCGGTGCCCCCGCTGACTTGCCAGGTGACTCTGTGCCCGCGGTTCTGCCCGGTGGCTCGGTGCCCGCTGACATGCCCGGTGACTCGGTGCCCGCTGACTTGCCAGGTGACTCTGTGCCCGCGGTTCTGCTAGATGGCTTGGTGCCCGCTGACGTGCCCGGTGACTCGGGGCCCGCTGTCGTGCCAGGTGACTCGGTGCCCGCTGACGTGCCTCTGCCCACTGCACAGCCCGACATGCCAGCCCCTGATGTCCAGCTAGACTGGCCAATAACTGATTCCCAGCCTGCTCCTGGAAATCCTGTGCCCTGTGACCTGCCTTCCTGGGTTCTCCTGCACAGGGAGAAGTCTACCAGCAGCAGCAGGAAACCCAGCCAGCCGGTTTACTCTCGGCAGTTGGATATTCAGCCAGTTACCTGACCCGGGGGGTGGAACATTTTGCCCACCCACTAAGGACTGTCTGGAGCGTCCTGAGGCCGCTCCTTGAGGGGGGGGGGTACTGTCAGGAATGGACTCAGCACTGGTGGTGGGACTCACCTGCCGTGTGGGCTGCAGTACCAGAGCTGACCAGCGGGTGCTCTCAGCAGCCAGAAGCTCACACGTGCAATCAGCCAAACCTGGGACTGATTGCAGAAAGGTGTATTTAAGGCATGGCCAGGCCTGTGATCTGGGCCTTGGTGTATGTTTTTCCCATGAGCCTCTGTACCTGGTATCCTGTGTTCCTGCTTCGTTGCTGACCCTGCTTGATTCTGATCGTCTCCTGTTGAACCTGGCTTGTGACCCTGACCATTCTCTGGCTGATCCTTTGTACCGCGCTGCCCGTGAGTTACTGAACCCAGCTTGTGCCCCTGACCATTCTCTGCCTGCTCCTTTGGTACCTTGCTGCCCGCACATTGCTGACCTGGCCCGTCTGACCACGCTACTACTCTGCCATCCATCCATCCTGCACGGATCCAGCCGTCCCTGCTCACACCTTCTGCCTCTTCACATCAGGCTTTTCTACCTGCACATACCTCTGGCGGATCCCTCTACCACTAGCAGGTGTACTCAGGGGCCGCGACCTGGTTCCTGTCTGCTCCAAGTCCATCCCCACCATCAGGGGCCCTGGTGAATAAGCAGACTGGGACTTAGACTCCGCGCCCTGGGGAATCCTGTCCTGAGGACCGCTAGAGGTACCACCAAACGGTCATTACAGAACCCTACGGCCGGCCTGACCGTTCCACCTCTCCAGCCCTGACTACGCCTGTATTCCTGCCCCTCCTAAGATTGGTGGTAGGTTGGTTTGTTCACTGTGCATTTTATATATATATATATCTGGGTGGCTAATAATAAACTGTATTATTATACTATACGTGAAACCTGCGTTTCCCTGTGTCAGTCCACACCTTTCTGGTCATTCCTAGTAGTGATTCCTGACACTTTCCGTGATTGTCCTGTTCGAGGTCAGGGCTTTCTGCCCCCGTTAGTACCTCCTTTCCTTTTTTCCTTGGGTCTGGTCCTGGGCCTTTCTTGACCAGCTTTGCTCTGGAGCATGGATCCAGATGGAACTATGTTCAGTGAGGACTGCTGTTCTGGTTACTGCTACAACCGTAGTTTCTGCTCCATAGGCGAAATCCTGCTGTTTCTTGTTTCTGGTCAGCTGTTTCACCACAATACGATCTCCGGCCTGGAAAGGGTGGGTATTTTCCTGTAAAAAAAACGGAAACATGCGGATAACATCGTTCTCTTTTTGTGGGGTACATTTCTGGCAATCGGGAAAACACACATCTGTGACCACACAAGCTGGTTGTTGTCCTCCCTTTTGTTTGGGGTATGTGTGTAAAGTCAATTTGAAGATGTGTAAAAGGTGTTGTGGGGTAAGGCAGGTATTGATGCATGGCTTTATTTGGGTTGTTTGGGTTACTCCTGATACATGTGATGTATCTTTTCACATAATCTTGTACTAACTCCTCCATTCCTGTGATATAAAAATCTTTTTGGAGTTTTTTTAGGGTTGCCTTCCATCCTATATGTCCTATACCATGGTATGGTGCAATGTATATCGGGGCGCTACACCGTGGGATGCATGGTTCCCCTCTTTGCAGATTAATCCAGTCTTTGGATTCTTCTGTAAAATAGGGTAGCACCAGTCTTCGAGCTCCTTTGTGGAAGCTGACTGCTACAAAGTTGTGATCAATTGAAAATCATCTGGGAAGATGGGGCATAAAGTGGGCATCTGCAGTAAAACAAATTATTACTGAGCTACCTTTTTTGCTTCATAATCTGCTAGAGCGTTACCTTTTGTTATATCATCGTCCCCTTTGGTATGTGCTCTGCAGTGTATGACCGCAAGTTCCTTGGGAAGTGTGAGAACCTTGAACAAATTGGGAATGGTTGGGAATGGGCAATCTTTTTCCCATCAGCTCCTATGTAGCCTCTGAGAAACCATAATACACCATGGTCATACACTGTTCCATAGGCATATTTGGAATCCGTGTAAATAGTGACAGACTGATCTTTGTACAGTTCACATGCTCTAGGGAAAACAATCAATTCAGCAGCCTGGGCTGATTGAAAAGGGATTGTTTTTTTTTGGCCTAGTGCAGGAGCCATCTATGAAAACATCAGCATTTGGGATTGGAATCTTTGATAAATCTAGTCTGGGTGAAATATTAGCCTCAATGGATTTGAGGCAGTCATGAGCCTCGGGTCCTAGATCGTTTGACAATTTGAGACCCAACAATGCGTTTAGGATCATTGTTGGACCTGAATTGTTTGCGCTATACTTGATATGCAACATGGGGTTTGCTCATCAAGATAACCTCATATCCGCTGAATCATTGGGATAACATGTACTGAGTGTGTATATTTCTTAGTAAAATAGCTACATTATGTGTAGTGTGCAATATCGTAGGGTGTCCTAAGGTGAATGGCATAGACATTTCCACAGTCATAACGGAAAATGCCAACACTTTGAGACACGCAGGCATGCCTTGGACCTGAACTGGCACCATTTTTGAAAAAAAAAAAAAAAAAAACTACAGGGCGCAGTCTGCCTCCGTGCTCTTGGGCGAGTACACCAGCCATGGTCTTACAATTGTCCCTTGAATACACATGAAACATTTTTACATAGTCAGGAAGGCTAAGACCTGGGACAGTTACCATTGCATTTTTCAAATACACATATGCATCAACTATGTCATTTGACCACTTAACAATTTCTGACATTTTCTGGGTTGTGACTTGTCATAATAGGAACAGTCAGGTATCCACTGGCGGCAGTAACCAATGGCTCCAAGAAAGGAGAGCCCATGTCTTTCTTGGTTTGTGGGCGGGCAAGTTTCAGGAGAGCCACAGCTCTCTTTGGACTGACTTTCCTTTCCTCCTTTTGTAAGCACAAAACCCAGATATTCAACACTTCTTTTACACCATTGTAGTTTTGTCTTTGACACTTTGGGTCCACCTTCAAAAAGACATTTCAACAAACTCTCCCCATCCCTCAGGCCGGCCCCCTTAGTGAGACTGCAGAGGCAGATGATATCCGCGTACTGCAGCAGGACTGACCCATAGTCCGGTGTCCACCCCCTCAGAGTGGCCTGGAGAACAGTTGTGTAGACTACAGAAAAATCTACAAAAACCCTGAGGCATTAAACAGAAAGCAAAAATGGGCTGTGTCTCTGCATCAACAAGGACGCTAAAAAATGCATTTGCTAAATCAATTACTGAAAAACATTCAACATCAGACGGTATGGCTGTAAAAAAGACGGAATGTCAAGCACCAACAGAACAATATTTTGTAACACAGTCAATGTCCTCTATTTCCAAACATCTAATTATTAACATGTCTCCTACAGTGAGAAATGGATATTGCTTGATTTGTGTTACCACCTTGTGTCTGGTTCTACCTGCCCTTCCGGGACTGAAAATTTTACATATTCCTGCTTTATTTGCCAAGTCTACTAATAGGGACCCTGATATCCCTTTTAATCCCTCAGCAGAAAAAGTTTCCCTCATCCTGTGTGGAATCAGGAATTCCTTGGGTGGGGGTTCAAGTTGGTCTTCCACCGCGTCCTGGACTGGGACGGTGGATGAGGCTGTGGGTTGGATTTGCTGCTGTGCTGCAAAGAAAAAAAATCACGTCCTCTTTGGAGAAGGAAAGATATATTCTGACAGTACGGAGCTGACAGTACGGAGCGGGTCTAGTGACACATGACCACTTATCACTCTCAACAAAAGACAGACAATAAGAACTTAAATATTGACTCTATTTCAATAACTTTGACCCGTTCACTTACCAACCGGGTTCACTTATTTGCATAAACAAATTATCTTATACTCTATGCATTTGATAGTAGAAGCAAAGAAAAGAAAGTTGGTTACCCTCAACAGACTAGTTAAGACTCTGTAAATTAACCTAGACCCTGTCTAGGTATTTCAAATGTAGACCCCGTCTACATAAATCACCTTTCCTTATCTGAGTCTCCCGGAGACTCAATGAAGTATTCCCGGAATACTCCTGTCACAGTTCAGAGATCGAGAGTTTAGTCAGAACCCACGGACAGCCGGACAGACAGACAGATTTTGTTTATCTTACCGGGTGACCGCAAACGGGTTGACCTCCCGATCTCGGTGGGACCTCCAATTGAAAGGTTGTTGATAGCCCCTGGCTATCAGTCTTTATAGTCGGTTTCAGGTACGGACGCGTCGGTGAGATTGACTTCATCTCAGAAGAGAAAGACATACACACAGTAATAGTTGAAATCAATCTCTCAAGTTTATTAGTGGGAAGAAAATTAATATAACAGAAAAAAGAAAGGTGGGGGGCACAGAGTATCAAAAAGCTGAGTTGTCAGTAATTGATTGGCTGAATACAAAAAGACAAACATTGACGTCAATTCTGAAAAGTGATGAGAAGCGGAGTTTCATTTTCCCAACAATAAAGAAAGTTTCTACATTGTTTTAAAACACTTATCTACTACATACAATAGAATCTTGCTAGATACTTGTCAAGGCTATAAACATGACTTTCTCAGGCCTTGAAATCAGTTACAAGTATCCAACAATTATTTTCCCATGGGACAGAAGTATTTGACTTTTAATTATATCATAACAGAAACAGGTGCTGTTAATACAAAGAAATAATTGGATACTATCTCCTCCTCTACCAAGGCTAAGCTTAAGAAGAATATTGTGAGTATAATTCTGTAACACATAACTGACATAGCATATTTTCATTAACTCATTCTGGGTATCATACAAAACAATTAATCAACATGGAGTACAAAATGGAGTGGGGGGGGAAACAAAATGACAGACCTAAAAGACATATATTTCCCTTCACCGACATGTGGGGAAAATTTCATGTCATGAGCACCTTTAGAAATATATTTACAGAGAAAAATGGTGACGTGTTCAATACTTATTTTACCCGCTATAGCTGTTTGTTTGTCTGTGTCCATGTGCAGAGTGAATGTAATGGGAGGGATTTCATAATTGTCAATCAACTGGAAAATTCCTCCTGCACCTAAAGGAAGTGATATGTAAATAATAAAGCAGCCAACACTCTAAACTGATACCTTAACAGTCAGTGTAATCAAATAATAAAATAGTGCAGCGCTAAAAAAAAACCATAAACAATATTCAAATCAATAAATCATGCAATTGTCACACACAAAACAATAATTAGTGATAAGATCAATATAGATGTATATGGTGTACATACTAACTAAAGTGCTCACAAAGTGCATCCTGAGGTCATCTACATGGCCTCTATAAGGTGTCATCAATACCACACAAATGATTGGGAAACAATAAACCCCTCAACACCTCCTACTTAAGTAGGTATATCATGAAACTCCTAAGAATGGGGAAATAACACACAAAGTGACTTGTGCAAAATATATAAATACCATACAGTGACCAAACTAATTATTACATACAAAATGCAATTATAAATAAAAACTGTAAAAAAGGTATATAAATAAATATATATGTAACAGATAAAGTCTCTAATAGTCCATAAATCTTCCAAATCAATTGTGCTTCAAAAAAACTTCCATGCAGAGTGAAAAGTTTGTGAAAATTGTGATGGTGTCTACACACATATCCTCAGTGGCTAAATTGCCCCCTCACCTCCTTTTAGCGAGCCACTGGGCCACCTCGCTTTCAGGATCACTCCAGGATCCTTATCTGGCAATAGCTGGTATCAGAAGTAATCCACCTGTGGTCCCCCTCTCTGGTAGTGTCAAGGTCCTACCTTTTCCCAGAGGTTATGTTATTCCATGTGCTGGCATCCATCTTGGATTTCTGCTGAGCATGGTGGGAATCTTTTATGCCTTCAGGTCTCTGAGGTCCATCCCCCAGAGGGGTGTGGCTGAGTACATATAAGCCTGTGATCCGCACATGCTCTTTGCACTTGTGTCTTGTTCTTGCTACAGCTCTGTGTATACTCTCGTGACTCTTCTGGTATCTGACTTGGCTTGTGACTAAGACCATTCTCTGTGGTTTCCTTCGATCTGACCTTCCGTTGCTGAACCTGGCCCGTGACCTGTTATTCTCTGTCTACTGTTCTGTACCGTTTTGTCCCGTTGTTGTCGACCCAGCCTGCCTGACTACGCTATTGTCATTCTAACCAGCTACACGCCATTGGCGGCGGGCCATTACCACAACCGGGGTGTCTCGGGGGCCGCGACCTGGTTCCTGGCTGCGTCAAGTCCATCCCCACCATCAGGGGCCCTGGTGAAGGGCAGCCTGGGGCTTAGACTCCGCGCCCTGAGGGACTTCGGTCTGTTGGTGGTGGTGGTTGTCGTCAGCCAGTGCGTTACCCTGCCACTAGGCCTACCTGTCCGTTCCACAGCCCTGCCCTGACAGGTAGGTAACACGGTTCTCCAGGCCTCCCAGGACATGTACATCTGCTATATAACATACTCTCCCATACCGCCCATGGTGAGAGACAAAAGATCCTCCACAGTGTAGTAATTAGAGTAATAAAGCCTTTATTTTAAATAACAAATGCCCACTCACTTGTATAACATCACAAAATCGCATATAAACCTCATGCTTGGGTGTACTGCATGGCTTAGGGAAATTGGGTGTCCTAAGATGGCGTCCACGCCGGATGTGCATCACCACGTGCCGGAAGCTGCGTCACTGCGTACCAACGCGTTGCGTCACTGAAATCACTCAGGATAAGTCACATGATTTCAGTGACGCACTGAGGATATGTGTGTAGACATGATCACAATTTTCACAAAGTTTTCACTCTGCATGGAAGTTGTTTTGAAGTTTTTTGAGTACCTCACAAAAATGACATTTCTGTTGCAGAGGATGCCCAATATCCGACTTGTATCTTAGTGCAGACTTCTGGGAAATCAGTCAACCAATCACACAAGCAGAAAATGACATTTGTGGGGGGCGCTCTGTACACCATCTGTGTGTAGAACACCTCCAGGCTGCCATGTTGTATATTACAGAAGATCACAGCGCTGATGACTGAACAGGAAAGGTCATTTCTAATAACATTCAATTACAATATGACTTGTGTCACAATTCTATACACTACAGGAGATTTTTTATTTGCCAATTTTTTTCCCCACGAACTACAGAACACGCAGATTAAAAAAAAAAAAAAATCTGTATTTATTGAGTTACAAAGAGAACAAGAAAAAGGTTCAATATAGAGAGCACTTCGTGTAATCCAGAATACAACCACATATGTTACATACAGGTAGAAGAGAAGGGGGGGGGGGATTATATACAGGCAGTAAAGAAGGGAGATGGTAAATACAGGCAGAAGAGAAGAGAGCGTTATATACAGGCAGTAAAGAGGGGGGGTTATATACAGGCAGTAGAAAAGGGGAAGTTGTATATACAGGCAGTGGGAGGAGGGTGGTGGTATATACAGGCAGTAGAGAATGGGGGGTATTTACAAGCAGTGGGGAAAAGGAGGTATAGATTGGCAGTAAAGAAGGGGGGGGGTTATATAGAGGCTCAGTATATACTATAAATGCAGAGTGAGGGATAAGTGGTAAGTTTTTTAAGGGGGGAGGTAATATTGCGGTATATATGAGCGGTGGGAATGTATAAAGGAAGTGTGAGGTGTATATACAGGATCAGCGCTCAGTATACAGTGGGGGAGGGGGTGTGGTGTATATACAGAGGAGGGGGCGGTGTATATACAGAGGAGGGGGGAGGGGATTGGTGTATATACAGAGGAGGGGGGAGGAGTGTGGTGTATATACAGAGGAGGGGGGTGTATACACGGCGGTGTCCGGACTCAGTGATAATATATATACAGGGAGGGGGAGGAGGACTCACCGGGAAGTCTATGAAGGGATTGGCCGGCCGGGGGTGGCTCTCTCCTCCCGCTGGGCTCCGGCTTCCTCCGTTCCATCTCCTCCCGCCCTCTGTATGCCTCGGCTGGTTGTCCGGACTACCGAGAAGTCGTTGGGGGAGGAGCCGGACTATCTTTACCTCTCGGCCCTGCCTCCTGTCTCTGATTGGTTGCAGTCATGCTCCCCGGCAGACCCGCCTTCTAGGCGGTGCCCAGATTGTGCGAAAGGAAATTATGAAGGCAGAAACATCTGTAACTGTCCACCAATCAGCTTCATTCTTCTGTGCTCAAAGCTTAACTACATCAGGTGAATAGAGAAGCTGATTGGTCACCATGCACAGCCTCTCCTGTGTTGATAAATTCACCGCACTGTGATTGGCTGAGCGGAATAGGAGCTCAGTACATGTCCCTCCCCCAGCTTTAGTTCAGGTTCTCATCTATTCTGTGCTGGGGGGAGGGGCATAGGAGGTAATAGATCCCAATGTCTGTATAAAGAGGACCTGTCACCCGGCATCATATCACAGATCTATTTTTCTGGATTCATATTTTTGTATGTGACACATATATGGGACGTTATCAATGTTTGTAAATGTTGTCAGGGTGGAGTGACTGAGAATCATTTCAGTTTTGGGTTTTATATATTTTATCATCATCCCGACAATCCTGGTGTTAGAGGCACCGTATTGGTTTCTGTGGGGAATGGGCGGGGCTTGTATGTATGTCCATATATGGTCATGTGAGCAGGGTGGATTTGAAAGGTTTTTTAAAAAAGTGGGCGGGGCTTGTATGCCCATATATGGTCATGACAGAGGAAGTGATGTCACAGTGAGCAGAGTCTGTAAATAGAAGTCAGCACAGCAGTCAGTCATTTCATTTGAGCGGTGCACAGGAGAGGACGTGGTTTTCAGATTTCTCTGAGATTGGAGTTTCAATCTTTGGACTGAAGAGGACGTCATCATGAACGCCTGGAAGAGATTTTATCGTATTACCAACAAGTTGGATGAAATCATGGCAGCGTGCGAGGAGGCCAGAGAGAATATCTGTCTGAGGATTCGTAGAGTCGGCCAATGGTTTCTCCATTGCTTTCAGGGATTCGCGGAATTTGGAAAAACGGCTTGGAAATGCAGTAAGTGTTTATATGGATGTTGTACGGCGTAAGAGGAGGAGATTATAGGAGGAGGGAGGAGCTTAGTGCTCGCTCCCAATGTTAGTTCTATTCAGACAGAAGAATCCTCTAATAATAGATCCCACACAGGACTTTAGTAATAATAAGAATCCTCCGAGACTAAAAACAATCATCTTGTGATAGGATTATCTTTAGTATTAGTAAGAATCCTCCATGCCAGGACCGAGGATTGCCATCCTGTGCGGGTCGCAGGATTGGTGCAAACCAGAGGGTCAGACAGGAGGGA